TTTTGGTTCGGAATTGTCTTGGTTTTAGTTCATAGTAGTTACTAGAATTCTTGGACATGATACAAAACTTGTATCATAGTCCGATGTGGTCAGTCCTAATATATTGAAAATCTCATATTAAAAAGATTATTATACAGAAGTACCAAAATCCATGCAAGTTGTTAAAAATCCTAAGTGTCTTGTCCTTAGGTGGTAGGCACATTTATCCCCACCATGAAGACCTGCATGCTTAGATTTTGCTGTGCTCAGCAGTCTAGGAGAATGAAATCTTTCTATTCCTTAGCCTAATGATGGTGGAGATGGTGATTGGATGATAGCTGATCCCCTAGATGGTGGGGTCGAGAGTATCCCAAACACCAGAGCCTCTCAGCACCTGCGCAGCTGGGCTGAACTAGCGTGCTGTGCACTAGGCACCCATATCAAGGCGCATGCCTTAATACAGCCAGCTGATAACTGGGCTTCCTAGTCGTTTCCAAGTTCTGTCTTTCTATGAGGCTCCTGGGGTAAGGACCAGAACCTTGTTCTTAGAAGCCTTATGGAATAGGGAGATTATATTTCCACAAAGAATAAGTAGGTAATAAAACATGACACACTTCAGCAGAGAATGACTTTCCCATTCAGCCACCATGACATTTGCCATCAAAGTACAATCTTATTTAAGTGAAATCAGAGTTACTTTTATTGGCAAAATAAAAGTGGAATGTGTGACATTTATAGTTCCTTTTTCAATTTGGTATGTATTGCACACTGCAGTGCTGTGCGTTATGCGGTAGATTTTAACGCCGTCTGACCAAACCAATCTCAAAGCTGAATGTAAAGGTAACCCCAGAGTCTTGATTCTACATGAATTGCTAAATAAAGATTCTCTTTTATGGTGTCACCTGATAAATCTGTTCAATTATGAACCAGGCAATTATTTTTAAATAAAACAAAACTTTAAAACATTCTCCAAAACAGCTACAAATGGATATTCTTTAGATTTGAGATCCTCTTCATTAAGTAATTGATTAATTTGTAGGGTCTCTCTATGCAACTCAGATTCATAGTTATCCTCCTGTCTCAGCCTCTCCAGCACTGGAATTACAGGTGTGCACCACCACGCCCAGTGTCAGTGGGCAGCACGATGCACCCAGGGTTCCCAGGCCAGCACAGCATGAGGAACCGGGGATGGAACCCAGATCCTTGCACTTGCCAGGCAGGTGTTTAGACTGCCAACCTATCTCCCAGGCCCTGTGGTCCTCTCTTATATAGAAAAAACTTAAGTTTAAAAATAATTTCAACCTTTATGAAGTTGGTTTTAAGTTAGGTATATGCATGGAGGGGGTAAATTGTGGATGTAGAGCCTACAAAATTAAATAAGACTCAGCCTAAATGTAAAGTGAACGGTGATCATTTAGGCAGAAAAATTATGTTGACACACCTAGAGATTTTATCATCACATAAGAATATTTGCAGTCAAGGCCCAAGAATGAAAAAAAAAACAGGAAGTTCATGAAGATTGTGCTTAAACACTTGAAATGGGAAGGGGAAGGAGGCTACAACCTGCCTTCTGTTAAAGCTAAAAAGAATGTGGAAGCTATAGAGAATCAAGCAACATCTGACTGATATGCAGGAGCAGAACACATATATTTAAAATAAAGCAAATAAAGTCCCACGAACAAAGCTTTTTGCAGCATCATTTGCTGTGCTCTGAATTTCAACATACATGGTGCTTCATCACCTTGGATAAGACTAAAATAAAGAATGACTGCTAAATCCTGAAAGGAAAATCATGAATGGCTTTCCAAACAGTTTTCTGTTTTGCTGTTGTTTTCCATTTGAACCTTTCCTTGTATGTGAATCTAATGAAGAATGCACAACAAGTATTGGAAAACATGTTAGATGCATTGATCTCAGTTACAATCAAAGGGTTCTTTCATTACTTCTTCTATGTTTAATACATGAAAAATAACCCAGAAGGTGAGAAAAAAAAATATAAACCCGGAAGGGAAAAGGCCATTGAGTATTTAATGAGAGTATTGATTCCAACTCACATTCATTTTGCTGTTTCTCCTTGTTTGAGTTACAATTACCAGTACTCCAACCTCAGTATTCGATAATCTGTAAACTCTTCTCTCAGTGGAGAGACAAATGTCACTGGAGCAGAAAAGTGCAATGCGAGGGCAAATCCCTTAAACTCCTTATTTGCCCTTAAGTAAAAAAGAAGGACTCTGGCTACATTATCTACCAGGACCCTTCCAGCTGTAAACTTGCGTGTTTATGACTTGGTGACTCTATTAACTTTTCTGTCAGTCCTTCATTTTAACAAATGTTTCCTAAGGTAATAGAGTGATATTGGCTCTTTGTCATCTTTCTCTTTTAGTGTGTGTGTGTGTGTGTGTGTGTGTGTGTGTGTGTGTGATATTGCCATTCAGTTTAGCAGACAGGTCATTTAATCCAAGCTACACATTCAGACATTCAAAAACACATATTACGGAGCATGCTGCCAGGCTAATTAGTCCAACGCAAAGGAACTGAGCTCTTTTCTCCTGCTTCAGCCCAGATATCACATCCCTAAATGCTGCTACCTCCTCGCAAGGTGAACATGATTGACAGGAATATTATTAAGAGACTTTTCCAGCTTGTACATAGATTACACTAAAGATTCTTTCCACTCAACATGGTGAACCTGCAGGAAGTACAGCCCCAAGGCAGGAGTGTTTTCTGCCTGCAAAATGTTTCCTTTTGTATATTCAGAAATTCACTATTCAGGCTTTACTTTCCAGAGGTCATCCTGGAAGGCAGTTCAGCCATGTGTGTAATATTTTAATCAAAGAATGAATTTGGCTCTGCTTGGCAGAAAAGTGAAAGGAAAAAAGATTATCTTGTTCTTTCACTCTCATTTCTCAAGCCATATCTTGTCATATAGAGTCAGAAGAATATCAATTATAATCAGAAAATCCCTTGACTTGCCAAATACTCTTTTCCCACAGTCATTATGTAGGAACCCAATTCTCTTATCACAAGATGTGATTCCCCACCCCCAGCCCCCTGGAGGGATTGGTTTGACACAGTACAAATCTATAAAACTGGGCTTCAGAAATCATGGATTTAATCTTTGTTCAGGTACAAGCTAACACTGAGACTTAAGCAGGCATTCTGTCCATTCTTGATTCTTGATTTTTCTTCAATTTGGAAAGAGACATAAAATACATCACCACCTTTTCCCCTTATCTTAAAGAAAAACAAGACTTTGGAAATGTGTGTAGGAAGTCACTTAATTCTTTGCTTCTCAGCTTGGGAGGTGTATTTGCAAGCTGGTTGAAGAAATTCCTTTCCAAATTTCAGTGTTTTTCATTTGCCAGAGATAGTGATTATGACTACTTATGAGTTGATTCATTCTCTGATTGGCCTTCTTACTCCCTGAAGACAACATGATGCTCTGGAAGAGAAAAAAAGGGGAGAATGCAACTCTAATGAGGAGGTGAGAGCCCCCAAATAAGTGAGAGAACAGCAGAGGGCTCAAAGTGCATGTTAATTTGATTTCTGTATTTATAATATATGCCTTCACAAAAAGTAAAACTGCATAAAATTGTCGGAACTGGCTGGAGTGATGACAAAGTGTGAATATTACAGAAGGCATGTTCTATAAATGTTTTTAAAAAGTATTATGATAAAACATTAATGAGGCACAAAAATATTTGCAATACATTGAGCAAAAATGTAAATTTGAAAGCCCCACATTTCTTAGATATGTGTATGTTGGCATGATGAGAAAAGGTCTAGTGGAAATATAAAATTTTAAAAGATCTTTAGGTCATGATAGTATATTTGTGTGTGTGTGTGTGTGTGTGTGTGTGTGTGTGTGTGTGTGTGTATTTGCCCTCTTTTCCTAAGGTTTTTGCCCAATGAGCATATATCTTTTGGTTAATAAGAAAGGAAGCTGGGCTACGGATGAAATTCTGTGACAGAGAGCTTGCCTAGCATGCCAAGGACATGAAAAAAGTAAAGAAAGTCACAAAGAACTTGTTTCTTAACTTTTACTTTTTATTATTTTTTTCATTTATTTTTTTCTTTCGGTACCATGGATTGAACTCAGGACCTCACACTTGCCAGGCAAGCACTTATTGCACTGAGCTATCTCCCTGGCCCTACTTTTATTTTTGAAAGGCAGTTGAAAATAGTATTGAAAATAGTATAACAGAAAAATTATAAATAATACAGAATTTCACTAAACAAAATAATATGAATTTCACAGTATTTGTTGTATTGCATAGTGTTGTCTTCAAGTTAGCTTTTCATGATACCAGATATATGCATGCAAAATTGGAAGAAGAAAGAAATTTACAAGAAATTAAGAAGAGAAAAAGGTAGAGTATTGAAAAAAGGAGACAAAACAGCTTAAGCACCAACTGCTCCTTTCCATAGACCATAAGAAATCCACATTACAGTTGTACAGACCATCCTGAGCTTACTTCAGCTGCTCATAAACTAAAATTGGAACAATACAGAGAAGATTAGCATGGCCCCTGCACAAAGGATTTTTAAAGTTGTCTTTCCTGTAATATTTTAGCTTGTATATTTTAGAAAGTTTCTAGTGGCTGTTCGACAGGACACATACTTGTATTTACTTATTTTTTTTTTTTTTTACCACTAAGGTGTTTCTTTACCCCCTAGTCTTTTATTTTAATGCAAATTAAAATAATTATCAACCAAAAATATATGCAGGAAGTGACAACCCTGGTTGTGAGCCAAGCTGATTGAGGATCCCAGGCACTGTCCTGCCAGAATTAAAATTGTAACAATAGTGATGGAAGAGCTCCTGAATCAAGCCAAGCAGGCCAAAGCACAGATTGATGTCGTCATTGTAAGGGGAAAAGAATAGAGCTTTCTTGATGATCCACTAGATGATGCCAATTAATACTGGGCTCATTTCTTTTTTAGAAAATGCTATCCATTGGTGTACATTCACAGATCTTTATCTTAATTTTCAAAATGAATTCCAATAAATTGTCGCTGTCATCCATGAGTATTTATTTAATGCATACTCATGCTGTCATCCTTTTTAGTCATTCTACTTATTTTTGAATATCTAACGTGAGCCCATAATGCTCTTTCTATAATTAAAGACCAATTGAAGAGTTTTACTTCTTTCATTTTTTGACTTACTTTAGTGTCCTAGATCTTTGCTCCAGCATCCCATTCTCATCCTGCCCACTTTGAGTATCCTCTTTCCTCTGTGAGCTTCTGTTGTGTTCCTTGATCCAGGTGTCCAGAATCTGTGACCCCTCCGCTTAACAAATCTGTCATCCCAGGCAGAGTAGTGTATTGTCTTCAGACATCCTCTGTTCTGAATTCCTGTCATACTTGTGATCACTGCTTGCTCCTTAGTGCACAATTGTTCCTTGTTTCAGACATTTTCAGCTGAACATCTTGATTCTGCATCTGGATTGAAAGATACTTGCAAAATTCACCATCCTCTCCGCCTCCACAAGAGTGGAAGGGTACTCCTGTGTGAAGAGAGAATCCTGTGTATTGTGTAGTATACTAGGTGCTTTGTCTATTGTATCGTGGAAGCCTGGCAATTGCTCTTCTGTTAGTATTCGGGAATTGTCTTCATATTTCATGAGAAGGGACTGAAATTCAGGACTGGTTGTGAACTCCCTTGAAGCTGCACATCTGGTTGCAATTTGCCCTGTTTGTCTCTAGACTTCTAGATGTTTTCTGTCATGCCATGACATTTTACAGCTTTTTGGTGCTTTAATTCCCTACTTTTCAAAACTCTTGCTTTGTTGACTTAATTAATGCAAAATTTAATAGTATTAAATATAGCCAACTCCTGATTATTTGCTTTAAAGTGGCCTTCCCTACTCAGCCAAGTTTTCTTTCATCTTTTGGCATATTTCCCATGATATTTTTCCCTGCAGCAAAACGACATTAAATTTCACAACACTCAATATATTAAACTACTTTTCTATCTCAGGAGCTATAATAAGCTTTATCTATTCTGTATGAAAGCATTTCTTACCATTTCTCTATTTTCATTTGAGATTCCTGTTCAGCCCTAAGTTAAAATATTTACCTGATTATGTAGATACAAGATTCTGAAGCAAACTGCAGTGGAGGAAGCAATGATTCAATATTTAATTTCCTGTGGTGCCTCTAGGACACAGAGTGACCTAATGCCAGCAGGTGAGAGAGAAGCAGAATATGAAGAGAATGCTGCATAGAAAAAGGCTCTTCTTCAACTGCATTAGCTTGGGGGGGGAGTCTTACACCCTCCCTAAACACACCTACTGGTTCTCTCTCCTCCTCTATCCTGCTATGCTTCTGCTTCTTCGTGCAATAAACGAGATTTTATTTTTTTATTTATACAACCTAAAGAAGCTAAAAAGAATAACGTAGAATATAAGGAGCAAATATTATGAAGGAAACTGACTGC